GGATGACATAGGGATCAGGTCAACGTTGTCAGAAGCTCATGACAGCGGCACCAGTGAAGCCGCAAGTTGCATCATTAACTTAAACAAAGGCACTTTAACGATCGGAGTTATCTACAGAAGTCCTGCTAGCCAAGCTGATGACTTCGTTCTAAATCACTTGAGGGCGTGGGGTAGTAGAAATAGGTGTCTGATTGTTGGCGACTTTAACGCTCCACATATTAATTGGGGGGAATTAAACTCCACTAGTTTGTATACCTGTTTCAATAGGGAGCTCACATTGACAGTGCTTGAATGTGCACTCGTGCAACATATGCATGCACCAACACGGTATCACCCTGAACATGATCCATCTACTCTAGACTTGGTATTGACACACCAGAAGGAGGACGTTGGTAACATTAGGTGCCTTCCGCCGCTTGGCAGCAGTGACCACATAGTCATTGCTTTTACGTTTAGGATTCATTCTCTCATGCACAGGCCAAAATCTGCTCGTCCAAACATTTGGAAAGCGGATATACAAGGAATCCGGAACGCAGCAACTGTGGTTGACTGGTCAGTTGATACAAGTCAGACTGTCGAGGAAGCTTGGGTAGGATTTAGGAATACACTAGATCGTGTCACTTCACCTTTTATACCTTGGTACACTCCTCGAAAGCCGTCGCATGAACCTCCTTGGATCACTAGTGAAATAAGGAGGTTATTAAGACGGCGAAAGAACTTATGGGACCAATTTGTTATGACAGGAAGGGAAAACTTCCAGAAAGACTACCGCAAAACTCGAAACCTCTGTAAGTATGCGATTAACAAGAGTCGTATAGAGTACGAGAGACGATTAGTACTAGATTGCGTTCATTACCCAAAAAGGTTTTACTCGTATATTAAACGTAGGACTAAAACTAGCAGTGGTATACCGTCACTCATAACCATTAGTGGAGAAGCGGCTGAGTCAGACGAAGGGAAGGCTGAAAACCTCTCTGAATACTTCTGTGACGTCTTCTCGTCTGATAGTACCACCCAGGGATATGGCGAGGTCACTGCCATCGCCACTCAGATGCCCTCAATTGTGGTAGAGCACACAAAGGTTCTGAAACTACTGTCTAAACTGAAGCCAGGTAAATCACCTGGGCCGGATGGACTCCACCCTAAGTTGTTACTTTCCTTGGCGGATATAATATATATTCCGCTTACGGAGATTTTCCAAATGTCTCTGACGCAGGCTAAGCTACCCAGGGACTGGAAGGATGCCATTATAAGCCCTATCTTCAAGGACGGGGATAGGCAATTGGTATCTAACTACAGGCCGGTAAGTCTGACATGCATTATTGCAAAGGTACTGGAAACTATTATAAGGGATCAACTATTAGCTTATGTTGAAACACATGGCTTGTTGGCTGTGGAACAGCATGGATTCCGACCAGGACGATCCTGCTTGACAAACCTACTATTGGCTAGGGAAGACTGGGTTGAGGCCAGAGATAGGGACCATCTGTTGGACGTGGTTTTTATTGATCTTAGCAAGGCGTTCGACAAAGTATCCCACTTAGGTCTCCTTAGTAAACTGAAAGGTTTCGGACTAGACCAATGCCTATGTGAGTGGTTTAGAGATTACTTAATGGATAGAAGGCAGAAGGTTAGAGTTAATGGTGTACTATCAGGATGGAAAGCAGTATCCAGTGGAGTGCCCCAGGGAACTGTATTAGGTCCATTGCTATTCCTATTATACGTTAACGAATTACCAGGGATTCTTTCTTCATCTTCATTATTATTTGCAGATGACATTAAGGTATGGAAAACTGTAAACAATAACGAGGATAGGTTGGCCCTACAAAATGACTTAGATAAATTAGCTGAGTGGTCAAGCCTATGGAGTTTGGAAATGAATGCTAGGAAAAGCGCGGTAATGCACTTAGGTCAGAAGTCTTATACGTCGTACTCCCTAGGGGATGCAGAACTACCTGATGTTAAAGAACAGAAGGACCTAGGAATCATTGTCAGCAACGATTTGAAAACAACTGCAAATTGCAATGCAGCCGCAGCTAAAGCTTTTCGAATGCTATGGGCAATTCGAAGGGCTTTCAAACGATTAGACGAGGGCATGTTCCAAATACTCTACGCAACATATGTCAGGCCTCATCTAGAATACTGCATACAAGCGACGAGTCCATGCTTCAAAAAGGAGGCACATATTCTGGAAAGAGTACAGAGAGTAGGAACAAAATTAGTTAGTGGTATCTCACACCTTCCTTATGATAAGAGGATGGAGCATTTAAATCTCTTCCCGTTATCATACCGAAGGAAGAGAGGCGACTTAATTTTAGCATACCGTATACTTAAGGGTGATTTAGGAACTGACCTTTCTAACCTTTTCTCCCCTTCTAGGATACATTTACGGGGTCACCGCAAAAAGGTGCTCAAACCAAGGACGATTAAAATACGTGCAGAATTTAGATTCTCTCACAGAGTGGTCAACGATTGGAACTCCTTACCTGATTCAGTAGTATCAGCTCCATCGGTGAACGCTTTCAAAGAGAAGTTAGATCTCTGCAGAGATATACTTTGCAAGGATTAACACAGGCCACAAGAGCCTTCTATCCTTATCATCTGAATCTGAATCTGAATCAGAATAGAATATTACTCCACTAGTGATCTTAACTGCTACACGTCATTTCTCCACATTAAATTATAATTCAGTTTCCCACGACTGCCTTTATGAGTTACATTCGACAGATGACGACTGATAACAATAACCACTTCCCTAGGCTAAAATGTGCAGAGCGAGCTTCCGACCCTCTCATCCATTAACTTAACGCTACATATCTAACACAATCAGCCATACATCAACGCGCATCAAGCAGGATGGGAATAATCTAATCGATCGTGAAGCAGGATAAAACGAAGAAATAGATGATGATGTAAATATAGATATAATCTGTTATAACAAGGATTGGCACAAACCATGAATTCACCCCTATCATTCCTACGATCATTTCTGAACATTTTTACCAGGAATTTCCAGCCATAGGTTCTGATCGGCGTGCGGCTGGTTCGCTTAAGCGCTCCATTTTCAGTCCATCGGTTCGCGGAATTCAAGTCCTGTAAAATCAAATTCAGCCTGCCCAACTTGGTAGCAACATTAGTCTTTACAAAATATTTGTGGCTTACGGTCTGATACACGAGATATCTGCTCTGGGCAACTCAGTCACTTTATGCTGCTGATACCTTGAATATTTCAAGTATACTCCCACATCAATATCTTACTTTCCCTCTGTGCTATTGGTTCACATTCCCATCCTTTACATTCTTTATTCCTACTCAAAAAGATACAATTTACGAAAAGACGAATCAACACAACTGTCATGCAGAAACAGCTCAAGTTGAATTCCCGTAATTGGTACGACATCAACAATTCTGAGTCCTTAATTTCAAAACTTTCAAGTTAAACTTAAGCAAAAAACAGTCACAGTAAGTATTCCTTACCTGCTCGCCAACGTTTTAATTCACTCTCCAGATGACTTACAATAGTGTGTGATTTACCAACCTTCTCTTTTTCTTGCTCATACCTCCTACGCCATTCATCAGCCGTAATTTCTTCGTTCACCGTTACCAGATTCTTGATGGTCTTGGCTCGCATACCGAACATTAAGGTCGACTTCGTTTCGGCTTCATTATAACCAGCAGGAGAACAACAGATCACCATAGTTGTTCGTGCATTCCCTCCAAGAGATTCTTGAAGAATGCGAGTTAGTTTAGAGTCACGATAAGGGACGTGAGACTAAAACAGGAAATCATTTAACAGATCAATAGCTTGATAAGGTAGTGGCAGTCATCTTCAAATAAGCACAACATATCCAGACAAGAGATTCTAGTCGTAGTAGAAGCTAAAAATATGAGTTAGTGTGATGGGTTCTTCTGCCTCAGAAACACACAGTACAGAACTCTGCTAAGAAGCGAGCACATACAAATAGGCGTGATCAACACAGAACAATTCAATATCTTATGCGTCTTAATCACATGGAAATTCAAAGTCAACACTGGCTACAATACCACCACCACAACCTGAGAGCATAAACTTACGCTTCCTTCCACAAGTGCATTGATCACATTGCCAAGAGCAGAAAGTGATTTGTTAATATTTTTGGCTTCGTCCAACACAGTACCCTCAGCGCCTGTCTTCGCAACTTTCTCACTACCAGCCAAGTCAACAAGATAAAGTTTCCCATGTAGTGTCTTTTGAGTTTCCAAGTTCTCTTGTCGAACATTGATCAGGAGAACTGAGTGACTTTGAGAACTGTGCTCATTCATGTCTATAAATGGATAAGAAGTCAAACATTAGCGTCACATAAACCCCCAAGATAACTTGAATTTCATGCACAAAAAAGCAATATTTCAGTCAAACCACCACGCCTAGCTAACACTCAGGTACGACATATACTAAGAATACTTACTCGTCACGGCTACATGACGGTTAGCCTTCCCCTCGTCAATCGCTTTAAAAGCCTCTTCTGGGGTGGATACAAACTTTTCTGTGACATCCTCAAAGATTCTTGTTAGGGAGGAATTATATCTTATTAATATGATACTGATATGATTATGAACGATAAATTGTGTTCGAGACGTCATCTAGTATATAATACTGTTTCACTGTGGTACATTTAATAAACAAACTAATATGGAATTATATCTTACTTTCACGTAATGAACTCGGTCTTTGTCCTCATGCGCCGGTAGGTTTGTCTTCGAGACTGAATCAAGATATAAATTAAATTAAAAGACTTACCATCAAGGAGGTCACGGATTTTTTCCATGTATATTTCAAAGTAAGAAACCTGAAGATAAGAAGAGCAGCACCACAAAAATTACCTTAATGTGGAACTCCAAGTTCTCGTCCATTTGGTATATATGGTTGAATATATCATCAACTATCCGCGGGATAACACCTTGAAAAACTGGGTCACCTAAAATACCCTGAGGAGAAACAATCAGAAAACAGAATGTCATACCTCCATAGTATAAGTCTTTCCACTTTATGTTTGACCATAGGCGAATATTGTTCCATTATATCCATTCAACACATCTGCAACAATAGGCTTGGCCACAACTTTGTACACCTCTAACTGAGATGCCTTCGGCTGAACTACATGATCAAAGCTAAAGATTTTACCCTAGATAGAAGAGTTGTCACAAGTTTGAAAACCATCAAACATACCCCAAGAGATACAGTTGTGTCTCCATCACCGGGGAATGACACCACAAACTTGCTGTCGTTTGCTTTCTCTTGCTCGTTAAATGGCCTCACACGGCATACAACTTTAATGCTCTCACTCATAGTAGCCAATAAATCTGAGTCTGAAAAGCTGAGTGGATTCTCAGGAGCCCGCCAATGTTTTTAGACAGTCGGATGAGCAGACAGATAAACAAGGCAGAACACATATTGAACAGCATGCGTGGAGTTAGCCTGCATCAAACTGAAAGAGTAGGAGTGAATCTTTGCAATCTATAAAGTCTCCCTTCGTTTCTCTGTCTCATCTCCTAAGTGTCAAGTTTAAGAGATATGATAAATTTTTTTATGTGGTTTTGTTCTCTGAGCTGGATAGTTAGTTTGCGAAGCTTTCATCACCTTACTGGGTGACATCTTCAGCGCATACTTCAAATTGAAGTGAGCTTTTAGGTTTCTCCACGAGTTTATTAATCATTCCTCCTGGTGACCTTGGACGTGATTGGTTGTTTATGTATGTTTTCACACCTTCTAGGTTACTTGTGTTGGAACTGATTGTTTCTGTGACTTGAACTTTGGCCAATCGTGTGTGAAGTTTCTTTCTTATTGGTTGATAAATTTTGTCTATCTCGATGTGTCTATTGATTGATGATTCACTGGAATGCCAAGCTTCTAAAAATTCTCTAGCATTCTTGTTATTTCCTTTGTCTAATATTTGAACGTTGTCCCAGTCGAATTGATGTCCGTGGTTGTCTGTGTGTAGTGAAATGAGGGAGTGTATATCATGTCTTTTGACGGCTAGCTTATGTTCGTGGATACGAAGACGAAGGGGACGTCCACTTTGGCCAATGTAGTGTTTTTCACAGTTGTTACAGTTTATTTTGTAGATGATGTTGGTTTTGTCTTCTTTTGCTGTTGAGTCTTTTGGTTGACATAGAATTGAGTGCAGCGACTTTGTTGGTTTGTGTACGACGTCAATTCCTAAAGGTTTGAAGAGTCTTTTAGTGATTTCTGAGATATCCTTTATATATGGTAAGGCGATTTTCTTTGTGTTTTCCTTGGTGGCTTTTGTTTTGGTAGGTTGGCTTGGGGGTATATGTCTCTTGATGAAATTCCGGGGATATCCATTCTTTTGGAAGACGTCCATGAGATACTTTTCTTCAATTTTTCTTAAGGTGGGAGTGCTGCAGTGAGTCCTTGCTCTCTTGAATAGTGTTTGTATGCAGTTCCTTTTGTGTGCTATTGGGTTGTTGCTGTTGTAATTCAGTATTTGGTCTGTGTGAGTTGATTTCCTATAAACTTGAGTTTCTAATTCTCCTGTAGTTGTTCGCCTGACTAAGACGTCCAAAAATGGTATTTTGTTCTCGGATTCCTCTTCTCTTGTGAATTTGATGTCGTTGAAGACGTTGTTTATTAAGTTGTGAGTTTTGTCTAATTCGTTTCTTTTGATTATTACAAATGTGTCGTCGACGTAGCGTATCCAAATCTTGGGTTTGATCTTTGGTAGAATTATGTTTTCGAGTCTTTGCATCACTGCTTCTGCAATCAAACCTGATATTGGCGATCCCATGGGTGTTCCTTTGACTTGTTCATATATTTGGCCGTTGAATTGGAAGTATGTTGTTAGGCATAGATTTATGCATTCCATCCAGCTTGTGTGTTGCATTTTTGATTGTTGTGGAAGTTGTTCGTCGTTGCTAAGTAATTGCTCCATGGTTTCTTTTGCTAGTTTTTGTCCGATAGAGGTATATAATGCTGTCACGTCGAAGGATACCATTATTTCTTGTTCATCTATTTGGATGTCTCTGATTTTCTCTAGGAATTGGATAGCAGAGTTGATGGAGTGATCACAGGATTCCGTTAGGTGTTTTAGTTTTCTGTATAATTCCTTGGACAAATTATATGTTGGAGTTCCTGGGAGTGATACAATTGGTCGTAACGGGATATTTGCCTTGTGTATTTTGGGTCTGCCGTAGAATCGAGGTAGGACTGGTCCATTGGATTTCATTCGCCATTGGTCTTGTTTTGTGATCTGTCCAGTTTTGCTGAGCTTGTTTAAGGTCCTTTGGATGCGGTTGTCCAATGTTTGTATGGGATTTGTTGGGAGTTGTTGATATACATCTTCATCTTTGAGTAGTTCTTCAGCTTTCTTGGTGTATTCTTCTCTGTCCATGACTACTGTTGTTCTTCCTTTGTCGGCTGGTAAAATGACGATGTCCTTCCTATTTTTCAGCTTTTTGAGGGCCTTTAGTTCTTGAGAGTTGAGTTGTGTGTGTTGTCTTTTCTGTTTGACCATTGGTACAATTGTTTGGCGTATCTCTTCCTGTGTTTCCTCGTTCAAGTTTGATGATTTGAGTAATGATTCAAGGCAGCGAAGAAATCAGTTTTTGAAGCATCTCCGGTGTTGTAGTTTAATCCTTTTTGTAGTAGTTGTTGTTCCATTTTTGATAGTGGTTGTTTTGATAGGTTGACTACGCAGTCTATGGGCGTATTGTCTGGTTGTTGTTTTCTAATCTTGGCTAGCTTGGTTTTGAGGACTCTTCGTCTTTGTTCTCTGTGTTTTCCACTTGACAGTGAAATTGCGGTGATCAGCGTTGACAGGTGTTCTTGGTTGAGGGTTTTCTCTAATTTTGCTTTTTGGACATCTATTATTTGTTGATATTTGTTGATCCGATAATGTGCGTCCGTAATCATTAATTTGACCATTCGTCTTCCACATTGTTCGGCCAATTTCCATCCCATTGGGCAGTTGACTGGTGGCTTGTATCTTACACTGTTTGGTAGGATTGAATGACGAAGGCACTCATGGAGAAAGAATAATTGTTCTCTGGTGGATCCTTGCCTTTTGGCGAAGTCTTCCCACTTTCGAACAGAGAGAAGCGTATCCCGCTCGTAAGATTTAGATATGATAGAGAAGATTTGTAGCTCAGGTGGATAATTTTGATGTGGTTTTGTTCTCTGAGCTGGATAGTTAGTTTGCGAAGCTTTCATCACCTTACTGGGTGACATCTTCAGCGCATACTTCAAATTGAAGTGAGCTTTTAGGTTTCTCCACGAGTTTATTAATCATTCCTCCTGGTGACCTTGGACGTGATTGGTTGTTTATGTATGTTTTCACACCTTCTAGGTTACTTGTGTTGGAACTGATTGTTTCTGTGACTTGAACTTTGGCCAATCGTGTGTGAAGTTTCTTTCTTATTGGTTGATAAATTTTGTCTATCTCGATGTGTCTATTGATTGATGATTCACTGGAATGCCAAGCTTCTAAAAATTCTCTAGCATTCTTGTTATTTCCTTTGTCTAATATTTGAACGTTGTCCCAGTCGAATTGATGTCCGTGGTTGTCTGTGTGTAGTGAAATGAGGGAGTGTATATCATGTCTTTTGACGGCTAGCTTATGTTCGTGGATACGAAGACGAAGGGGACGTCCACTTTGGCCAATGTAGTGTTTTTCACAGTTGTTACAGTTTATTTTGTAGATGATGTTGGTTTTGTCTTCTTTTGCTGTTGAGTCTTTTGGTTGACATCAACTCTGCTATCCAATTCCTAGAGAAAATCTGAGACATCCAAATAGATGAACAAGAAATAATGGTATCCTTCGACGTGACAGCATTATATACCTCTATCGGACAAAAACTAGCAAAAGAAACCATGGAGCATTTACTTAGCAACGACGAACAACTTCCACAACAATCAAAAATGCAACACACAAGCTGGATGGAATGCATAAATCTATGCCTAACAACATACTTCCAATTCAACGGCCAAATATATGAACAAGTCAAAGGAACACCCATGGGATCGCCAATATCAGGTTTGATTGCAGAAGCAGTGATGCAAGGACTCGAAAACATAATTCTACCAAAGATCAAACCCAAGATTTGGATACGCTACGTCGACGACACATTTGTAATAATCAAAAGAAACGAATTAGACAAAACTCACAACTTAATAAACAACGTCTTCAACGACATCAAATTCACAAGAGAAGAGGAATCCGAGAACAAAATACCATTTTTGGACGTCTTAGTCAGGCGAACAACTACAGGAGAATTAGAAACTCAAGTTTATAGGAAATCAACTCACACAGACCAAATACTGAATTACAACAGCAACAACCCAACAGCACACAAAAGGAACTGCATACAAACACTATTCAAGAGAGCAAGGACTCACTGCAGCACTCCCACCTTAAGAAAAATTGAAGAAAAGTATCTCATGGACGTCTTCCAAAAGAATGGATATCCCCGGAATTTCATCAAGAGACATATACCCCCAAGCCAACCTACCAAAACAAAAGCCACCAAGGAAAACACAAAGAAAATCGCCTTACCATATATAAAGGATATCTCAGAAATCACTAAAAGACTCTTCAAACCTTTAGGAATTGACGTCGTACACAAACCAACAAAGTCGCTGCACTCAATTCTATGTCAACCAAAAGACTCAACAGCAAAAGAAGACAAAACCAACATCATCTACAAAATAAACTGTAACAACTGTGAAAAACACGACATTGGCCAAAGTGGACGTCCCCTTCGTCTTCGTATCCACGAACATAAGCTAGCCGTCAAAAGACATGATATACACTCCCTCATTTCACTACACACAGACAACCACGGACATCAATTCGACTGGGACAACGTTCAAATATTAGACAAAGGAAATAACAAGAATGCTAGAGAATTTTTAGAAGCTTGGCTTTCCAGTGAATCATCAATCAATAGACACATCGAGATAGACAAAATTTATCAACCAATAAGAAAGAAACTTCACACACGATTGGCCAAAGTTCAAGTCACAGAAACAATCAGTTCCAACACAAGTAACCTAGAAGGTGTGAAAACATACATAAACAACCAATCACGTCCAAGGTCACCAGGAGGAATGATTAATAAACTCGTGGAGAAACCTAAAAGCTCACTTCAATTTGAAGTATGCGCTGAA